CGCGAAGAAGATTTGCATTTCACCGATGATGGTCTAGGTCCGATGTCTTGTGGCACAAGCTCGAAGACCTACAGGCAAAAACCAACAAGTTGACAGAAGAGGCAGAGCAGCAAAGATGGGACTTCAAGTGAATGTAGAGAAGACGGGGGTGATGAAGATATCCAACCAACAATAAGAACAAGCATTAGTCACAATCAACGGGAGAAATCTAAAGGAAGTAGCCTCTTTCACCCACCTTCCCAGCCAGCATCGTTTCAACTGCAGGCGGCACAGACACAGATGACGACGTCAAAGCCGGGATCGGAAAAGCAAGACAGGCTTCCAGTAACCTGAAACCAGTGTAGAGATCTACGGCACTCAGCATAAAGAACAAGATTCGGATTTTCAACACCAACGTCAAATCAGTACTTGTTTATGGCTCAGAAACTTGGTACGTCACAAAAAGCACCTCCAAAAAACTACAGACACTCATCAACAGCTACCTACACTCGATACTGAAGAACAAATGGCCAGAATAATAGAAATAAGCAACAAGGAACTCTGGGAACGAACCAACCAATATGTAGAAGAAAGTGGAGTCGGATTGGGCATACATTGAGAAAGCCATTCGGGGACATCATGGGCCAAGCCCTCGAGTGGCACCCAAAGGGGAAACGACGAGTTGGGCGTTCCAGCTGAGGGTGACATGGAGGAGATCGTGTGAGGAAGAAATGAAAGCTTGTGGGCAGACGTGGAGCCAGGTTGAAAAGACCTCAGAGAGCAGAGTGAAATTGAGACGTGCTACTGAAGCCTTATGTTCCACTAGGAACCCAAGGGAAAAATAATAATATAACAATCAGAAGTCGGTCAAAATGAATCGAAACTATCAACGCATTCGAGTCACCTAAAAAACAGAGGGTAAATACACTTGTTGACGTTTCACTAATCATTACAATGTAAATGCGAACTCCTCCCTCACTCTACAGCTGTCCTCAATACTAGATAATAAAGTGTCAGAATTAGTGTACCACAAATAGTGGTATATATGTGTTTATCATACGAATACAACAGAATAAAAACAACTCCCGACATTCCAATCGCATCAATTCATTGTGATAATCCAATATGCTAAATAAGTAAGGTTGCAAGGATTTTGCAACAGCGGACAAAACTGAACCTCATAGATAACCTCAATATGCATTTACTGACAGCAGGAAGACAATTAAACGATTCCCTCCATATTTTATGGAGCATATACCTTTCTTCAGGTGAGAAAGTGAAAACAAACAGTTGTTTGGTCAGGCTTAACGACATTTTTCAGTGAAAACATTCTCCAACCAGTATAAAACTAGTCATGTTCTTCACAGATACTGTGTTCGATTGTATCTATTTTTCCGAAAATAAAATTTTATCCATGTTTCAACGAGTGTTTCATTGGAGTATAGTTTTTCTATTGACTAAATAAACTTCTGGCTGTTTACCTTTGAATATTTTTAACATGAAAGTTCTACTTTTTAACCAGTTTCAAATAGAAAGTTTAAGGTGGTATATAGTTGAATGCTACAGATAGTTCACCATGTTTTTGGGTGTATACTGTGCGTTGAGTTCAACTGTTTTGAAAAAACCGAATAAAAAGTGGAAAAAGATAATAGTTACTTTCACTGGAGACAATGATAACCAGATAAACTTTCGATATATTTTGATGTACTGCTTCAGAAAGTGACCAGATGCAAACTTTAAAAACATCCTGCAAGGTAAGACATACCTATAGAAAACGACAAATGATGTTAGTAAACATATTCTTCGGTAGATGCATACCTTAGGGAAAGTGAATGAGGAAATCATAACTTGTTAAAGGTTCACAAGGTAGCTACACTTCCACATCCAATTAGGTACGAATTACACTTAAACACTCCTTGAACAAAATGGCTAGTGCACGTCTTTGTATCATAACACAGTGCTGTTTAGAAATCAATCGTAGTAGTTTGTATTTGAATTCCTGAACGAAAATTCCGGAAATTTAAAAGACAAGATCACAAAATGATCAGATAAAAGAATAAATTCGTTGGTGCTTTCTCTGAATATATTAGATAGGTATAAAGGAAATGGACTTTTAGCACTGTTAGATAAAATATAGCAAGTGCCACCAAAGTATACAAAAAATGTTTCAAACTTGACAACATATGCCATAGAACATTGCTCCTCTATGAATTTATATCTCTATAGTATGACAAACGAAACCAAGTTACATCCGCAAAACTAAAGATATTATACATTGGGAACATTAAATGTAGGAGCCATAACCACTGAGGTAAATACTGGTTCAAAACAAGTATTCTTACGGGCTCCATTATAAAGATAAAATCCAAATTTTAATTATTTCGGCTTCATAAACACTTCATTCATGAGATATCTTTCCTTTTGCTTCAAATAAACTACAGTGTTGGTATTTAACTCTTCCTTTCTCCAAAGCTTTCAATCGACAAAAGTAAAGGTATGGAGTTTCAGCCCTCTTGTCTGACAATCTTCCCGTCCAATGCCTCATGTGCCTCCCTATTAGTTAAGAGATCAAAGCTTGCAATAACTAACAAACACACAATAAAGACAAAAGGTGTGAAGTAGTCTATAAAATATTACATAAGTTGAGATCATAGAGAATACTTTCAACTCAGGAGGCGGATTTTCATGGTGCTGTGTTATCTGAGACAAAGCTACCAGCATAACCTTCAAAACTAAGTGCGCGATTAGTGATTTCCCAAGGAACAGGCTAGTAGCTTATCTCGATGACCTTGGGTATGGTTAGTTATCAACAATTGATAGACATAATAACACTGACTCAGTCTATCAACCAATATGAAACATGAGAAATAACAAGGTCAGGATTCACATCAGCAGGACAGCCAATCGAAATAAATGTGGAGATAATGTTAGGAACGTGTCAGAAACAACAGATCACATTAAAGGTCATCAGGACAAGCTACTGGGTTGATTCTAGAGAAATTCTTACAACTCACCTCTTCCACAAGTTGAAGCTGATGATGTTGCCTAGAATGGCAATGAAAGCTTCATTATTAGACTATCCAGTTCAGGGAAAACAACACCACCAAGATTGTACACATTACTTCTTTTGCTGCCTGACATTATCAGAATTGAGTCAGATAGAAAACAGATAATTGGTAAGAAATTACTGCACACTAAACCAAAATAGCTAAGGGAACTTTCTAGCCTAAATCCCTAGTGGCTAGACTAAATGTCAGACATAAACAAGGTAGAACCTCACACATCAGTCCATCAGCTCAAGTTGCCACACTTGACAGTAGTATAAGAAGAAAAATGGATAGAAAAAGTGATATCAAAGTAGACAAAAGTTGTGTGAAAGGAAAACCAATTCAAGATAAAAGTCAGTGAAAATATCCAAGCCTTAGAGGACGTCATACGGTGAGTACATCTGCGCCACCACGACCGATTCTCAGCTATGTCACCAATAGTCCACAACCATTGATTCTTATTTTCTCTTGGACCCCAGTCAGATGGTCTGCATCTCCTCACACGGCTCAGACCAGCTGCCATGAACTCCATCGACTGGTTCCGTCATGTTCTGGTTAACGTGAACCCTCTTCCAACTGACTCTAACTTTCCTTAGCATGGCATGTCGAAGTAGGCGGTGATGGAGTATGCGTAGTATATGTCCAAGCCACCTCAGTTGACGAAGGTTCACGATGTCATCAATCGACTTGCCTTTCTTGTTTAAGAAAGGCAATAAGCCACACACATAGTTTGAGGACTAATGATGCTACTTGGTTGTCTAAACCTTGGCAGGTGAAGAGGTGTTCAAACCGCCAACGCCCTGGTTGGAAGTCAACTCCTTGAACCAATGAGCCGTACACACATTAGACTGTTTATTTAATATGGCACACTGATACAGGACTATTTAGTGGACACGTTTCGAACAATGACTGTTCATATTCGTATCAAAGTAATTATGTAACTTTCAAACTCTACCCACAGTGCCCAAGTTTTACTATTAAATTAATATAGATACGAAATTTCCCTATTACCGTGGAAAATACTTCCCGTCTCCGCACATATGTTGGCTAGTTTGTGTTTGCACTTTCTTCCAATTGCTTTGAATCTCACTGTGTCAATTCAAAACAAAAATTAGAATGAGAAGTGAGTGAATGCACTACCATGAAGTTTCGACATGCAACATAGTGCAAGCGTATAAAACTGACAGTTTTAGATTTCTCGCATCTAGTTCTAAGGGCTTGGTTCGAATTATTCGGTTTTCTCCTGCAGTGGACAAAGAAAACCTCTTCTAGTTTCTTGCTTCTAGCCTCAGTGAGGTGAATGTCTTGTGGGTTAGTAAATTGCAATTTGTAGTGAGCAGGGAGCCAAGGGTTGCTGGGAAGACTAAGGGTCCATCGTGACTTCTATCTGGGTAGGTCCCTGAATAGGAATAGCAAGATGGTGAGAAAAAGTATATGGGAATTATCCGAAAGGATGAAGTAGACAGCACGAGTCTAGTTGCTAGAGAAGAGTTAGTAGATGTCGGTGTATCCAGAAGAGAGATAGTGAGTGGTAGGTAGAAGGGGAGTGATGGTGAGCTAGTGAGGTTAGTACCTTCGTGGTAAACCATTAGAAATGACAGGACTGTCTGTCTTTTGAATAAGTCTACTGACGGGAGTGTGACTTCATCCAGCGGCAGGGCATTCCATAACAAACACTCAATGAGAAAAAGTTGAAGCTACTAAAAATGAAGTCCATAATAGTCCCCACTTAATTTATGTCTCAAGTTACCAAAACCAAACATGTTCACAATTTAACCTGGTCATGTTTAAATACCCTTGAGTAAACATACTTGGAAATATTTTATTGAAGAGAAAAACATAACAAAGTATTATGAAGAAAAACTGAACATTAATCTCGCATGAATCAGTAAGTGAGTAATAAACAGAAGCGTGAACGATAAAAGAGTTAAAATAGAACGCGATTTATTGGGCGAATTGAACGATTGGTCCGAATCAGAAACCACCATCAAAGTCAGTATCCTTAACGACCAAATAAACTAGCCAGAAGATTGTTGCAAACATTAGTGTATTTGCAGACAGTGTTAGCCCACAGGCTCCCCAGAATATCTGAAAAAAACTATAATACTTGGAGCTGAACCTACAAGAGGATGGTTTTTAGGTGCACGAGCAAATAAAATAGGCAATGCATAAGCAGACACAACAACGATTGTGGTTAGGAATGTGCACACATCACCAATAGAACTTTCCTGACACTTTTTAGCAGCCAACAGAGGAATTGGTGCGAATACATAAAATATCATCATGAACAATGGCCACCAAGCACTAGAAAATTCCAAGTTATTAGTGAAGGCAGTTACTTGTATTGAGGTAGAGCACAAGCTAACAGCAAGAATGTAAATGAGATGGAACCAGCTAATGAAACAATGATAACAGCTTTAAGGTTCAATTTGATAACAGAAGGAAACAACATACTCTTAACCCCAGTCATCTTACACTACCCTCGACCTAGAACATTATAACACCCGCTTACATAGGACTAATACAAATTATCAACATTTGACCTTCGCACCTTGGTATTCAGAAGTAGCAAACTGAGAGCTATTTACATTTTGGTTTCATGCCATTAGAAACTTACTTTAGACACATAGTCAATCACTTGACAATTAAAACACATACAAGAAAAAAAAGTTCTAACATCCTTCGCCAATAGTGAATGAGAAGGAAATCGATAATTTTTGATCTCTCACGTGCACTTCTTAGAGCCTGGTTCTTGTTTTTTTGTTTGCTTCTGCCTAGAGTAATGGAATCTCTTCCGCTTTTAGCTCCACTGAGATGACTATTTCTGTGGGTTGGTAATTGTAACTTGTAGACTGAGATGGTTGGAAAGACACTGACTGCTAAGACGATCAGGGGTCTTCCGTTACTCCTCTCTGTTAATTTGCCCAAATAGGAACTGCTGTATAGCGTGAAAAAGTAAGTGCGACTTGCTTGAAAGGTAAGAGCAGATAGTTTGGGCCAAGAGGGAGATAGTGCAGGTATGTCAACCACAGTTGGTGGGTGATTGGTAGGAAGGACGTATTGGTGGGTTAGTGAGGCTATCAGCGCCTTGAGTGTGCCTGACGTAGCTGTCTAACTGTCTTTTGAATGAGTATCATGAGAGTGCTCTGACCAAATCCAGCAGTAGGCCGGTAACCGTTGGTGGTATTCGTGAGGGGTTACCAGCGGAGTGTATGCAATCAGGATCATTCCCATCAGTCTTAATGATGCCAAGGCGAACAAATGACTAGTGTCTGAAGGCATGTGCTGAAAATAATTGAAAGCAACAAGGGACGGAGTGTGAAATAATGAGTAAACACTGCCCTGCATTGCGGATCAGTGAGACCATGGGCCACGGCACTCGCAGTAAGTGCCCACTTTTTGCGATAATCTTCTGGTGGCCTTAACATGAGAAGCGTTACACTGGCAGCCTAGGGCCATTTAGTCACCGAGCAGATTCCTTTGCCTTTGCCAGCATGCTCTTATAAACGGGTGGGAATGCGGAAGTATGAAGACTCCTCTCCTCCACTCCAAATAAAACCTCTTCTCGAGGAAGTAGTGTTGCGAGGTTGTTGCCGGGACAGCTGCACATTCCTTTAGCACTCGTTTACGTGGCCCACCTCAGAAGAACTACGAAAACTGAAACGCCGCAACACCTGTCTAACCATTAACAATTCAAATTTGAATAACCTCATTACTTAGCAAGTATACCTAACTAAGTATTGATGCCAACCGGCTTAAACAACCACGGGCCAGTGGCAGTGAGCTAGTTATTAGATCCCTCTTAAATCACCCATTTAAATCGCGTATGTTGATTGGAGAAACACTCCTGTGTTTCATGCAGGCACAACCTGACGGAATATTTTCTTCCAAAGCCCCTGGCGCAGTGATCCGGCATTTGTTGGCACTGACCCAACTTAGCCAGTCCTTTAAGCTGCTTCAAGTCACATACTTTCCCTAGCTAAGCTTTGGGGCACTACATCTCAACTTGGACTGGGTCCAGGGCAGCTTTTATGTGTGTCAGTAACTGGAGTATTTTAGCTTCAAACTTGGATAGGGTTTATTCTCTGTGAATCTAAACCTGGAAAGAATTTACCATTCGAAATGTCAACGACTTTTAGACCTTTGTGTCAACGAAAATGTTCAGCTGTCTATAATTTGCAACCCTGAAGCTAATTTGTGCTTAAAACGTGGTGTGAAAGGGGAACCCGGCACACGTTAAAGCATCATCACTATACAAAGGGTGAAAATTAGGTTGTAAGTTAAGCGACGTTGTCGTCCTCAGAGTAGATCGAGCCCGGTAACAGAAATAACAACTTATTTCAAGGTACAAACAAGTTGTTACCAGTGGTGTAAGCAGGTAGAAATCATGGGCAGTCTACCATGAATATTATATAAGTTTAACAGAGCTGAACGGACAGATGCCGGAGATTTATTCGGCCGATCCCTATGAAGTAGCTTGAATTTTGGGCTCGCATAGCTCACATTCTTATATTGCTTCCATAGATCTCCTGCGGGTGAAACCACACGCTAATAAACGTCTAATGCAAGTCGACGTCACCATCAAGTAACTAAGGAACGAGATTCACTTCCAACGATAACTTTTAGCAGTTGTTCTGAACAGTCAATCTGATTTATCTGAGTTGGCTAGGCTTTTGTTCCCACGTGAGTTGTACACCATACCACGTGTTTGTTTCTCATTATTAAGTGTTCCGAGAATAATTTCTACTGTTTTGGATGTTCTTTCATAAGGGACGATGTATTGCAAAATCGTCCAGATTATATGAAACCACTTGATTTCTCGTAGTGTTCGAATGGCAAGTCGATCACCCTGCAATACTATTCGAGTCTTACGGGCTTTGAAATGATCATTGTTGACGAAAAAGTGAGGTCAAATCTTGGCAAACGTTCGATGAATCATTCTGATAGGGCTGAAACAGAATCCTTAATCCTTTGCTTGTTAAAGTTGATAACGTTCTCCTTAGATTCTCGTTTCCTTCATCGTTGAAGTTTCATATAGGTAGTTACACTTTCGAACTGTATAACGACAACCAAAAACCTCAAATCGCACTATGCTTCCACTCATACATTCTTTTGTTGGTACCTACGTACTGGAAGTTCGTACAGTGGCGGAGGTGAACGAGACTCTTCCATGACTTTCCGTCCATATAGGTCAACAATGTCATTATGGACTGCAGAGTGGAAGAATTGCTTCATAGAATCAGGTAGAAGAAGCTTCAGACTAGTTGCAGGCAGTGCTCGACAGTATGTGAGTTAATTACTCACAAGTAAGTAACACACGCCTTGTGACAACGGAGTTGAAACGGAGCTCTTACATTCATATATGTGCCTACGGTTTGCAGCTTTTGAACACGTTTTCGGCTACAGGTAGAGGGAACAGAGACCTTAGCCACGACTGAGAAGAGGTGGAGTTCTTTTTGTCTAATTTTGTCAACTGTGGGCACATTGGATGTATTTCAGGGTTCAAAATCACTGTAATGAAATAGGATCTGTCCTGCAGTAGAGTAAAAAGCAGGAAGTGCATCAAGGAATTCGTGTAATCGCGTCTATACTTTCGAAGACTTATTCATTACAATGAGACGTAGAGTCACTGACACAGAGGGTTGCCACAGTAGGGGAGGTTACAGCCAACGCGGCACGCTATTTAAGTAAGATGTGGACAATTTTCATATAAATGTGGGTGGTGGTGGGTTTTTGTTTCGCCAAATAACTATGGCAAGACAGATGATAGAGAACAGAGTATTCTGTATGACCCAAGCAAATGTTTATCCTCCGTTATTCAGGGTGGAAATCTGATAGTTAAACAGAACTTTTGCCGTCTAGTGAGGACGGCGAGTGTTGATAAACAAGTAGTCTTATGTAAGGATGTTATGCTTAGGTTATAGAGAAACAGGTAAATAACTTGGAAATAGATGGGGGCCGAACAAATACTTGTGGGTCAGTGATTTCAAAGAAGAAACTTCAGTTATTAGGAGAGTAAAACCAATCCATTCGACGTTTTCCACAGACTTTTAACGGAATCGCATAAGAGAACTGCTTCAAAGATCAAAATGCATGTGAACTGATCTGAATGTGGTTGGTAGCTGGGAACGGGTTTCCACGCTTTTATGAGAGACTACCGCGCTATTTCCATACAGTCCACCTGGATTCCTTGTGTTACGACCTAAACATACCCCGAAGATGATGGAACACGGCTGGTAGGGATTTGTTCACGGTGCTATTTCATCATTAAACGATGTAGCAGGAAAGGATGCTTCAACAGTGCAGTCTCGGCACCACACAGACAACAATAGTTTCTCTGGGACAAAATATTGGCCTGTGCAGCAAAGAGGATCAGTTGGGCAGAAACATGACATGTTTACAGCGGGTTAAAAGTACTACTAACAAAATAAGCTTAATTTGGGATTTGTGGGGACTTAGTTGGTATTTATCACAGACTGACATCAGTCGGAGGGACACTGGAAACCTGAGAGCACTGGACGGCTGTTTTGTTCTGGTATGAGGATCTTCGGCAATGCGACCCACGACCTTCAGGCCCCGTGATCAGCACGTCACCACTGAGCCACCGGATCTGCATCCGGCTTTTGTATTTCCTCTAGAAACCACTCAAGCCATGAAAAAGAGAAAAAGTCCACTAAATCCCGGCAAACCCCCAAACTCAGCTGATCGGGTGCTCATTGGAGACCAGCTTCGAGAAGTGATTCCTGAAGTTCCGATGAGACGTCGTGAACGGCGGGCAAACCTAGTGGTGGAGAGCACAAATGCTCAACGATGCCACTAAGTGAGGATCGCGGTATGTCATGAACTAACAGAATTAGGAAATACGAACCACTGGATTCAGATCCAGCGGCTCAATGGTGACGTGCTGACCGTGCAGCCTGGAGGCCGTGGGTTCGACACCTGGCCGGGTCGTGGGTGGCATTGCCAAGGAGTCCTATACTGAGACGAAACAGCCGTCCGGTGTTCCCAGGTTTCAAATGTTCCTCCGACCTATGTCAGTCCATAATGAATACCAACTTAATGAAAGAAACTCGGACACCCGTTTGCTAGAGCCAGATCAAACTGTGAAAACTCCCGGCTTAGACTCCCGAATCAAAGCCACCATGATGGCCCCATACAGCCGTTAGCAGAGTGAAACTGCATTGCCAAGAGGGCAAAACAGCACTTTAAACATCCGAAAAGCTGCAGCGCAATAAACCGAGCTAAGCAAGAAAAGAACAACACAGCTTAACCAAAAGCAGAGAAGGACCTGTACGCCGCTATGAAACGGATTAGAAACAGGGGAAAGAAAACAGGGTGACAGGAGAACATTCTCATGAGGATGCAAAAACAGAACATCGGGACAAATACAGCTGTAGAGGAGACACAGGAGGAATTTCCGTATTAGATTCTTTCACAATGTTTCTCCTTACCGGAGAGTCTTTTGGACGC